GGCGCGCCCGGGCGGCGCCGCGGGGACGGGCACGGACTGCTGCCGGCGGCGCGGGACGTACGGCGTGTACGTCGTCTGCGCGGCGGTGATCGTGGACCCGGGGTGCCGCGGCGGCGGCGGGGGCTTCCCGCCAGGCCCGAGAGCCAAGGGCAGCGGGGCAGGAGGGATGGTGGGCGACGAGTGCACGCTGGAGGCGGGCGAGTTGGTGAGGTCGAGGTGCTGGTGATGATGAGAAGAGGGCGATGCGGGGACGGGCGCGTTGAGGACGTCGGGGTAGTCGCGGATCATGAGCGCGAGGGCGACGGCGCCTGTTGGCGAGATGCGGTTGTGCCGCAGGGAGATGTTGCGCAGGCTTGAGGTCCGGACGGCGCGGGCTGTGGAGATCGTCAATGGAGTTCAAAGGACGGCGGTGCAAAGGGAGGAAGGAGAATGGTAAAAGCGAAAGGTTTGATGGAGGAGAGCCGAAGGAACGAACGAAGAGAGTATGGGCCGGTAGTGTAGCACTATATAAAACTCAAAAAAACACTCACACAAAGTCTCCAACGCCGCCGCCCGTAACGCGCAATCATCCAGCTTCAGCGACACCAGACCTCTCTTTACCCCTTCCACTCCACCACCTCCAACCCCCGCTCCCACCTGCCGCTCCCTTTCCCGCCCCTTCTCCGCATCGCCGAGCGCATACCCCAGCCCGTAGCGCACCTCGCTCCCGTTGGTGTTTCCGTTTCCGTTCGTGTTGTTGTTAATGCCATTTGAATTTGAGTTTGTAGCGCTGTCGCGGCTGTCGATGGACGCCGTGTCCGAGACCGAGATGAAGGACGCGGCGGAGGAGGATGTGCTGTGGGTGATGTTAGCGAGTTTGGTCGGAGATGTGAGAGGACGGGGAGAAAATGGAAGAAAGTAAGCCAAGTATGAGGGAATGATGAGGGGGGTGAAATAAGGACAACGGGTGAAAAGAAAACAAGGACGTGGCGACTCGATTAAAGGAGAAACAAGAGTGGGGGGGAGTGGAGAGGAATGACGGCGGGGTGAATGGGACGCGTATCGGAGCGAGGACGAGCGGATATAAAGGAGCGCGGACGGGCAAAGAGTGGGACGACGGAAGGAGTGGGAGGGAAAGAACAAGTGCATCAATACACGGGCGGACGGGCATGACGACGGTCGGTGGAAAATGGAGGTATGCAAATGACGAGGAGGTGGAAGAGGGACGTGGAGGGAAGGGGAAAGCGCGGTGAAGGAGGGAAGGGAAGGACGATGCGGAATAAATGATGAGCGAGATAAATAAAAAGGGAGGGCGCGGACGGGCGGGAGGAGGAATGTGAGGGTAGGTACATATATGAGTGGGAAGGGGAGGGCATAAAGCCGGCGTGTCAAGACAAGTGCTTGTATCCTAGGATAACGCGGGGTGAACGGGAGAGGAGGAGGATCGAGAGTGGAACGCGAAAGATAGTGCGTTGTGATTGCGAGGAGAAGGACGGTGGATTGCGAAGGTAGGAGGACCAGAAGAATAAGGTAACGGAGGTGCAAAGGGAGGAGGATAATGTATAGTGTGGATAAGGAAGGGGCGCGAAGGGCGGGGAATGGGGGAGGAGAGTGAAATGGAAGGTGACGGAGGGATAGTACGAATTGAGAAGGACGGGTAGGGCGGGGCATGTATGATACGGCAGCGAAATAGAGGAGGGTCGCAAAAGGCATTAAAAAAACCTCCCCCAACCCAAAGAAAAGTCTAGAGAAAAAAACGCACCCCGTCCCAACGGGCCCAGGCGAATACTCGCCAAGCGCGGCGACGATGCACTCGACGGCCTTCTTGTCGAGCGGGTTCTGCGAGAGGTCGAGGAACTGGAGGGAGTTTGCCTGGGGGTCGGAGTTAGCGTCGGCGTTGGGGGATAGGGAGGGAAATGAGGGGAAGAGGACGAGGGAGGTAAGAAGGTAAGAAAGTAAGAACGGGGGGAAGGGGAAGGGATGGCAGAGGCCACCATACGTCCCCTCTACTGCAATACGTTCTCTCCAGCACAAATAGGATGTCATCCGTCGGCTGACAAGACCCAACACCGATAGACACCACACTCGCCGGCGTCCACCCGCAGCCGCGCTTGAAGTGGGCGAACGAAGCCACTTCCACGTCGCCCGCAGCACCGTTCGCTTCCCCTCGGCGCGTCAGCTCACCGGAGGAGCAGCAAGACGAGATTGTCAGGCTAGCTCGCAAGACGAGGGCGGCAAGCGAGCTCGCAAGAGGAGCACGCCAAGCAAACTCGCAAGACGAGAGCGTCAAGCAAGACGAAAGCGTCAAGCAAACGAACAACTATATCGCGCCCCTACCCATCCACCATCGGCAGACACTAAAACCAAACATCAAAGCGACGGTAGCCACGTCGCGCCGCCGAGCCACCAGAACCACCCATGCACGACAAGGAGACCGAGCACGAGCACGGAGCGCAGGGAAGGCGACAGGACGCTAGCGCTCGAAGGCGCGACAGGAGAGCACAATCTGCCCAACGCGACAGGATGCACGATGCCAGCGCCTAAGGCTAAGCTGAGCGCCCTCCCCGGCGCGAAAAGCGCGAGATGCGAGATGTGATGCGCATGGCGCCAACGTCAGAAAGTATGAGGAAAAGCACGACAGCAACGCCGCCGCAGTGCAAAAAAAGCATGAGCAGCGTCGAGGCAGCCGCCGCAACGAAAACGAGAGACGCGAGACGCCAGCGCCAAAAAGCACGAGCCGCAAGCGCGGGCGTCCACCATCCTGTGCCTCAGCGCGCCCCACAGCAGACCAATAAAACACCTCCACCCAGAAAAATCCCCAGAAAATCACAAAAAGGAAAAAGACGAAATAAAACGAATGAAGACCTAACGCACCTTTGCGACATACGCGCCAACGAGTCGCCACGCGGGGCCCTTGAGGCGGCGGTTGGCGGCGAGCGAGAGGTAGGAGAGCGAGCGCGGGATGAGGAGCGCGTGGAGGAGGGGCTTGAGGGTCTGAGGGGTTGTGTTAGTATATGCGGGCAAGAGGTTAAAGGCGGGGGAAGGGGTAGATGGGCGAGGTATTAGGGAGGAACGAGGAAGGAGCGGGAAAGAGGAGGGTGAAAAATTAGAAGGGGATAGGAAAGAATGTCAGCGGGGTGGGGAGATGGGGATAACAGCGAAAAGTCAAGACGGCGGAGGGTCCAGGATGCGTTATGCATAGGGTAGAGCAGTGTATCTGGGTGGTCGTTCGCCGACGCATGCGCATGATGGGAAATCAATCAAGGCATCGTGGACGGTGGGCGCGGGAATAGATACGAGAAAAGCCCGTAAGAGTGGCAAGAAAACGGGGCTCACCAAGTCGTCGAGATCGCACTCGCGGAACACGGCCTTGCGCAGGCCCCACTCGATGCTGAGCACATCCGCTAGAATCGATGCGCTCGCAAACGTCAGCTGCACCCCAGAAAAGTCCACGCTGCGCGGATGCGTCGGTGGTGTCGCCTGTCCATCGGGTGAGTGCCTCGCTCTGCAAGTAAGAAAAAAAGGTAAAAAAAAGTACCTTGAATGCAGCGGTGATGCCCTTATCGGGGACCTCCTGGCAGCCCTCGCAGCACTCGCGGTAGAAGCTCTCGACCTTGTCCATCGCCCACCACGTCTCCGCGTCCTCGACGCTGCCCGTGCTCGCCGTCAGGACGCTCGCGCTGTCCGTACTCGTCCCGGTACTCCCTGCTCGCACGACGCGGCGGCGGCGCTCCCGCTCCCGCTCTTCGATTGCCCGCTTCTCGTCGCGCAGCGTCGGCGTCGACGGTGGCGCGAGCGACGATATCGGGTACACCACCGCCATCTCCGGCAGGATAAAGTGCGCCCGCTTCAGCACTCGGGCAGACTCGTCTTTTTCCTTGTCCTTCCCACTCCCGCTGCCCCCATCCTTCCCATCCTTCAGACCAGCAGCAGCGCTCGAGGCGCCAGCGGTCTCCTGCCCCGGGAGGAAGCGGCTGAGGCTGAGGCGCGAGAAGAGTGACGCCTGCGCGGGTGGCGGTTTTTTGAGAATAGACTTGCCCGGTATCGGGATCGTCACGGCCGAGGATGACGGGGACGGCGACGACGGGCCCAGCGACGGCGAGTGCAGCGACATCACCAACAGACCATTAAGGAGGAGAACTTGTTTGGTTGGAACCCTCAAAACAAACATCGGCCCGTGCGTGGCGTCCATCAATTGGCTGCAACGGCTCTCTTGACCGTTCCAGACAGCTTCCACCCCACAGATTCCGTCATGCTATGCCTGGACCACTCTGCTGAGCCGCAAAATACTGCCCGCAGATCACCGCCCCGTCTCCTCCGGCAACCGGATCTTGTTCTCGTTCAAGTATCCGCATATGCATACCTCCATGGGCTCGCATGATGAACGCCGTGCTTAGTTGAAAACCGAATAATCACTTGCTTTGTCCATCGATTTTGTTTGAAATTTTGCATCTCAGCACCCGCAATCCAACTCAAAATCCCCGGACACCCTCTGCTTATTTCACCAGACGTCCCCAAATTCAATAACCTCGGAGTCAGACCAGTAAATAACCAACTCGTGTCCAGACCCAGTATCGGGTGGTTCATGCGGGTCAATTTTGCTGTTAACCTTTCCGCTGGATTTAGTTTGACACCTCCCGGAGACGCAGGATCATTGATTATGAATGCCGGCACTGAGCTCATCATTACTGGCAGCTTGCTGGGAGCGGCATCGGGCGCCTTACCTACTGTACGGCAAGGCGAAATACAACCACTTTCGGGCAAGTGTTGATGGATTAAATGTCAGCATTCTCTCTCTTTCTCGCCCATGTACAATACATTATAATACCACAGCCAGTTCTTCTTGCTCCAGAATTTCTAACATAAGATCTGGTGGGATCGTGATCTAATCCTACCATGCTCGGTTCTACGTAGCGAGCGCTCACCACAATCACTCTCTCTTTCTTTTTATTGATTTTATGAACCACAGCGCAAAAGAGAATTATTATCTACATCGATCAAGCAGGTGGCAAAGTAAGGAAGGCTCGGTGGTGGATGGTCCACACCTGCATTTATTGGATGCCTCCATCTCTGATTTACGCAGGAGGAGCCCGTTCGATTCGGGTCCGAGCCGTTCCGGTGGGTGCAGTAATTTTTTTAGCTGCGTAGAACCCGGTGTGTGCCATGTGGTCGTGGGACAATTCCACCGTGCTCCTCCGGTTCGAGTGAGCTAAAGGAAAGAAAGAGAGAGACATGGCAGTGATTGTTGTGAGCGCTCACTCGAACCGGAGGAGCACGGTGGAATTATATCATGACCGCAAGTCGGGTTTTACAAAATACTAAGTACAATGCGCAAGCAGCTGCTAAAAAGATGTACCATACCGATGAATGGCTCAGGCCCGAATCGAACGGGCTCTTCCTGCGTATTTTGACAGAAATAAACCAAAGAATGCAGGTATGGACCATCCACCACCGAGCCTTCCTTGCTTTGGACGCACGTTTGATTGGTGTGAATATTTTTGAGTAGTGGTTCATAAAATCAATAAAAAGAAAGAGAGAAACATCGCTGTGATTGTTGTGAGCTCACTCGAACCGGATGAGCACGCATCACGACCGCACGCCGGGTTCTACGCAGCTAAAAAAAAAATAGCAGTGACAATGAATGGCTCAGGCCCGAGTCGAACGGGCGCCTCCTGCATAAATCCCAAAACAAGGTTCTAAGGAAATGCAGGTATGGACCATCCACCACCGAGCCTTTTCCTTGCTCTGCATACCTGCTTGATTGGTATGAATATTTTTGAGTTGTGGTTCATAAATTTAAACAACAATAAGATCCCGAGTAATCAATTTAGTGGGCCGTTTAAGTGACCACATTTTTTCCAAGTATGATAAAAGAGATAATATTAGATTTAGTCAAGTCTTAAATTCAATATATAAAATTGAGTTTTAGGCCGATTTATTTGTTTTACAATACTTTGTCAAGGCTAAGCTAACTTAAGTCCCCTTTTAATTTAGGCCCCAGCGCTGCGCTTTTGACTGTGCGAGAAAAATCTTTGTTCTACCTGTAAATGACTGCTGAAAGACAATCTTTCAGCAATCCTTTCACAACTCGCTAAGAGTGAATAAGTCACTGTTTTTCGAAAGGGCCAATGATTGTGGCTCTTTCCATCTTGCTTTTCAGATTGAATGAAAGATTGAATTTTACTAATTTTAAATGGGCTATTGATTTACATACACTGGGCAGTGATTTCAACATATGTCAATATTTTTCTTTGTTGGGTGTGTATATGCTGGTCTGCATGCAATGATATCAGGGTCAACCTGGCTAAAATGTACTCCATACTGAGTTTTATTCTGGTAGTCATAGATGGATGGATAGCAATTCCCGCTCTATGAGCACCGGCATCGCTTCACGACAAACCTCCTTCGCACGAGTGATCGCATCCGCGCGAGGGAACATTGCATGCATATCGACGTGTTTGAGGGTGAGCAGGTACGGCATGGTGACGAGCGGGAAAGGTGGCGCAGGTATGGTGCTTGGGCTCGTAGAGTCGCGCTTGGAGCCTGTAGCCGTAGATAGTGTCTTGAGTCGAAGTCATAGTGTCTTGAGTAGTGCGGCTGAGCAGATAGGCCGAGCTGGTAAGTGAATCGCTATGGATAGCTTCTTGGCAGTGTGGGCTGTCGTATTGTGTGCCACACCGTGTCTGTGATGAGTTGGCATAGATGGCTTCTGGGTATCACTGCAGGGGTTGAAGAATTTTTAGAGCTCTAAATATGCTCCAAGACATGTTGTCTCTTTCAGAACTAATCTTTCCACTTTGAGAAGATTATATAAAAAAGAGGTCATGGTTTCAATCCTGGTTGGTGCCAAAATATAATACCTTTTTCAGGTCAGACCAGTTTTGGAAAGATTTGTTATCTTTCCTCTTCTAGTTTGATCAGAAACATGTGACATTTTTCTCATAGAACCAGAACTTATCTTTCCATTCCTTTGTTCAAACAAAGGAAACAAAATATAACTCATCTTTTCAATGAAAAGATGTCAAATATTTCCTAGGGCAATATTAGTGGAAAGATAATTCATCTTTCTAAAACCGGTCCAGACTGAAAGAGTAGCTATTTTTTGGCACCAACCAGAATTGAAACCAGGACCTCTGGTTTATCTAATCTTCTCAAAGTGGAAAGATAAGTTCAAAAAGAGCCGACATGTCTTGGAGCATATTTAGAGCTCTAAAAATTATTTAGCCCCTGCAATGTATGCCGCCGTAGTGTGGCGTAGTTTGGCCGTGCATGCCATCGAGTTGTGTGTATTTCTTGGGAAGGAAATGGACAGCGATAGTCGAGTGTGGTGCTGCGCAGCATAGTGTAAGGCTGCTGCTCCAGCCTTACTACATTCCTCTGCACTGTCCAACCTCTCCCTTCCAGGATTGGTTCAGCCTTTGCTGTCTGTATTGTACTGCCACTGTTCTGTGCTATTTGCACTGCACCACTGCTGTCCATGCCATCCTCATCGTATTGCTACTGCCCCCCCTTCAGCCTTGGTTTAGCACACCAGTGCCTCAGTCCTCATTGCTCCTTGCAGTCCTGCATTGTATCTTCACTGCTACCATTGACTGATAATCATTGGCTTCAATCTTATCATCTCTTGACTGATCTTCATTTGACCTTCAGATTTTCCTTATCATTGACTTGCCCATATCCTCCTCCTCAATGATCACCTATACCACTCTTCGACATCCTGCCTTTCTATTGCTGTTGTTGAGTCCTTCCTTATCCTATCTTACATTATGATTTATATCTTATCTTACATTATGTATCTCTCTGCACATTGATTGTGACATCCATACTATATTTAGATAGTCTTCTCTTCTTGGTCTTGACCACAATGTACCTTCACTAGTGGCTACTCTTGAATGACCACACTATTGTTCTGTCATTCTTGGTTCCTTCTAGATCTGTCTGGCCGACCCCTCTAGTGTTGACTGCCTCCACAATACGGCAGCCTTCCACATAGCCGTGCACACGGGGTGAGGTGCAGATTCACGGCTGTGTGGCGTGCGTAGCTTCGACGTGGGCTGCCAGGCAGATGCGGGCGGTGCGTGAGGGCATTGGGCAGGCATGAAGGCGGCAAAAGTGAGTGCAAGTCATAAGCAAGGAACTGTGACGCACCGAAGCCGCAGATGTAGATAGTGTCTTGAGTGGATAGTGTACTGACAGGCCGCCTTAGTTGTGTGTAGTCTAGCCATGCATGCCACCGAGTTTTAGGGAAGTGGTAGTCGAATGTAGTGGCACAAAACATAGCCACACACACCATGCGGGTGAGTGGACACAGGCGACAAGGCGGTACGGAATTGCATTGTTAATGTGAGTGTGAACGCGCAAGTCATGAGGGAGGAACTGCGACTAGTGTTGCCGCGACTCAAGTCGATCGAATTCGACTTAACTCGTTTGCTGACCCACCCTTGCATATTTTTCGGAATGTTAGACCTGTCAAACATAGCATCATGATGCCTCTCTAACATTTATCAACCATTTCCAGTGACATCACTTTGTCATCGGGTAATACATCATTTATTGCTCCCGAAGTCGCGACTCGGCAAGTCGACTCGAATTATGTTAATTCCCATGTTTCTCTGTGGTCAATCATTGTTTCGCTAAATGCCGTGTGAAGATGATGGACCTATTGTAACTCCACCTCCTGACCCCCTAATACCCCAGAATCGACGTGATCCTCGGACACTAAGCGCGTTAAGTCGAATTCGCGCGACTCGAGTCGCGGCAACACTAACTGCGACGCACGCCCAGCACCTTCATCTCGCACACAAAAGTTCAGGCAGGAGAATCTTCTTTGCTTCCGGCCGAATTCTTTAGTTCTGTTGAGACATTCGACACTCGCCACTTCGAAGCCTTCTTTTTGAGCCGACTCAAATGAATGAAGAAAGTGATTTTTTGTTGCCGTAAGACGAGGAATGGAAGTTATATCAAGTTGAGGGTGTTCGGGCCACTTTTGCGACAAATTGAGTCCATGTGCCAAAGATTGGGCATCGTCGCTGCAACGGAGAAAGATGAGTCGACACATGTTCAGGCGATCATTGATCGGATTTGCTGGAACTTCTCGTGCAACCTTCCCTCCTCTTTCCTCCGCCATTCAAGGTGTGCCCAGCTTATGCCTCATGGACTGAAATAAATTGACAGCCTCTGCCTCTGAGATTACTTACTCGGATTTCAAGACCAAAGGTCGACTCGGTTGAACCAAATCAAGCCAATATTCCCTGCTTCTTTGAGGGTTTGGAATTCCACAGTTCTGGAATTCGATAGATTCAGAATCACACTGGTAATAGCATTTCCTTGGTCCAGTTTTTAACAGGAATAAAATCTTTGGCTTCAGGAACAAAATCTTAAATAAAGAATGCAACAAAGCTCACAAAGAACCTCACTGTAATTAATAGGTCTCTCCTCTCAGTGTCAGCTAATCTTGTGGCCACTGACTTGAGTCCCAGTCCCAGAACCTTTGTTGACTCGGTATCGACACACAAGTGATTGCCCTTTTATTATTCGGACAAGAAGGCAAGTCACCTCTATTTTTTCTGCGGCCATCCAATAATTATGCAGGGTCCCACACGGTGTTCATGACAACTTATGAGTATTCACTTCACTTCTCAGAATACTCATGTCCACCTCAAATCTATTATTCCTCCGATATTCTCGCTGGCCACCCCATTTTGGGTGCAGCAACATTGTTCCCTCTCCCAGCCTTCTCAACGTCTGTCACCAGACCACGTCTCCAGGGGCAATAGTGCTCCGGAAAGTTTTGCCAGCCTCAGCAAGACTCTCACAGTCCCTCACATTGTGGCTTGCAATCACCTCCAACTATGCTCTGAGGCTGCACAACACACTCATGGAGGTCAAGTGTGAGCTATGCCAAGCATCTCACGTGGGATCAGGTGTGCATTAGGAAGCTTCGTAGCTCAATTCATTCAGTCTTCTTTTTCCAAGTCAATGTCTTGTGGCTGCAGTCAACAACTTCTGGAGCAAAATCACAGGAATTTCTGCAATTGCATATTATTCAGCGTCCCGGTATCAAGGGCCAACGTGAGATTTTCTCTACGAAATATGAGATGTTCCAGCACGCCGGAACTGGCACGGAATACAGGAATAAACCCCTCCTCAAGGATTACATTGTCCATTGCATTCGGTAATTTCTAGGCTGTGGGATGGATATTGGTGGTCACTCCGAGCTCACATCGATTGAGTTCATTAGATCCTACTCTGATAGCCTGGCAAGTCTCCCTATCCATTGTTGAACTCAGCCTGGCTGACACGGGGATCCGCACAACTCCCGCAATTGGGACAAACAGCAATGATATATTCGTCGCCGGATAGAAGGATTAAGCAGAGACTTGCTGCTATTTCACAAGACATTCAAGCCCGACATGCCTGCCGATACGACTGTCAACTTCTACATCCGATGGCACTGCACATCAGTCGATGATATGGACAGCAATGGTATTCCCGAATTCATTGACATCGACAGAATAAGCTGCACAGGAACTCAATTTGGAAGCGGTTAGAACCATTTGGATTTCATGATTGGATATTCAAGTCTGACCTACTTGACATCCAGTATATCATAGGTGTGGCAACTGGGGTCCCAGTGACCTTCCCTGCAGCAGGGAATCACACACACAATGGCCTGGGCAGGCTTCTCCTGCTCTATATGTTGATCTGCTTGCTGCATCAGGACCACACCCACCC